CACATCTGGTGGGGATGTGTCAGTTTTCGCCCATCCAATCCTATCCTGTCTGCTCTCTCGAAATCGACATGGGATGAATTCATCATAACCTCCGATCGGGTGAAACAGCTGGCCATCGTCTCCCGCGGCGAAAGAGTCGCTTCCTGCGTATAGAGTCACCCTGAAGAAAAGGGCAGTTGACTTCTAGTCAAATAACGTTAATACAACCACCGAAATACAAAAAATGAGCGATCGATCAATCATTAAAATTAGTCAAAGGTACGGTTTCGGAAGGGCATGCAATATACTACTCCGACTACAACATGATTTAGTGTCGACATTAAGAGTCATCTCGAAATTGTTAACCTTTTAAGAGCGTCCGAGATTGAGAGAGGGCACAAAGAGTGCCCCGTGTCCTATCGGAAGCAGCTCCCATTCGTCGAGCCAGAGCGAGCGTATCTAAATAGCCTCGCGCGTTTTCGCATTCGGGACCAAAACGCCGCTTCCGCTCGTGGCGCCATTCGGTGGAAGTGATTCGCGCTCCGGACCGTGCGTACTGGTATGCCCTTCGCTACGGACTAGTTGCCAGGCGCGCCCCTTTCTGCTTGCTCGCGCGCCTCTTTTCATTTTGTGTGCGCACACCCGAGGAGCGCGATGGGTGCTGGTACGTGGTCACTCCCGTGGCTCTCCGGTATACGCCTCGATGCGAATAACAATGGGGTGCGCTTTCTTAGCGCGCACAGGCTGTCTTTTTGATACGCTCGGAGGATAATAAACCCGGTCAGGCAGCTATAGTCCGTCAGGTTATGGTGCGTGTCAGGTTAGCGCGCGCAACGAATGTTGCGGCTGTGTCCCGTTGGGCTTCTGTTAAGGCATTTCACTGAAATACATCGATAGAGAGATAAAGAAAACAAGAGGAACGGCGAAAGGTGAAGATTGACTAATGAAAAACTAGACATTGGAGAAGACTAATACCGAAGACATACAGCTCACCCAGGACAATGCCGGCATTCCAGAAAGTCAGTGGGCGCGATATAGAATGTATAGCTAACCGGCCAACAAACAATACATTGCTTGTTTTAGAATTTCGTGACAGATGCCAAACAAAAACAAAATTTTGAAAGGAAGAACAGTTATAGCAGAGTCAATGACTCTCTATATACTGGCTTTATTGAAAATATTATGTAATACCTGGTCAAATGTTGTCTGTTGTCCTTCGAGGAGTAGTAAGTAACACGAAAATGATATAGCACAAATACTTTATTATATTATTATTATTATTATTATTATTATTATTATTATTATTATTCGAGAACTGGCTCTTCTGCCCACCGTGCGTAGATTTTTTTTCTCGTCTATTCTCTGTGTTGGCATTGCAAAAAAAAAAAAGCATATTAAGATGCTCAAGTTTTCTCGATTCAAAAAGATTGAAGCGTTTGTGTAAGCAAGAGAATATAACAATACTTATGGATGATGGCTCTTAATCAAAGGTGTTCTCACGTGTTTCATGAATTAGAACACTTCTTGTGTACTCACTCATTCACTCAGACTTCACCTTGTACACTCTCATACGAAACACTGAGGCAAAGCGTGAATTCATATAGTGCGACCGCAAGGAAAGCAAACAACCAAAGAAACTGAACAAGCTTGTACGACCTGAGTCATTAAGTCGTTATACCTTCCTGCCCATCCTCATTTGCATTATCGCCTCATACAATCTTCTCATTTCGTTGCTCAATCACCGTGCTCGGATTCGCTTCCTCTTGTTCTCGCGTGCTTCTTCCATTCTTTCCCTAATCTCTTTGTTCAGAATGATTCTTTTTCTTTTTTCGAGGCCCTCACAGTGTAACCTCGTTAGTTGATTAGGCAAGTCTTTTATCTGGATCTTTTGGCGTGTGTACGTGTCTATATTGTTCCCCTCTTATTATTTTCCCCCGCAGCTGTCGTCTTCCTCGTCACTCTGGTCAGTGCACACCTTTACGTATTCGCGGCCTGTGCACTTCCTTTGACAATGCTTCGTTCGCTCCGGGTCTGACGCTCTTCGCTCTCACATTCGTTGTTCATTGGTGCGGGATAACGTTATCGTCTTCCTCGCAGCAGCCCAGTACCGTGAGAGATAAGATGTGCAACTCTGAATGAAATGCTGGCTCATACCATCGCATTAGTGGACACTCGGTCATTAATCGCCTCCGGAAACATTGGTAATCGGCAAACTATCGATGTCAAGTGAGAACGTCATCCCCTTTGGCTCGCCTCTCCTTTTGTGGTTTAATTCCTTTGCTGCCACCTATTCTTCTATCAATATAGGTGAGGTGTCGACAGTGCGGGCAGTTTGGCTACTTACAAAACAGAGGCGTATTTGCGCATTCCATTTGATTGTTGTTGCTCCTGCTGCAATTTGTGTATGCCTACACGCGTTTTTTTTAAATCCATTAGTTCTGTGTCACGGTTTCTTTAACAGAAACTTTAGAATTATGCGGCGTGCACTATAACTAAGCCTTCACATTCTACCTAAATTATTGGGAGAAAATGTTCAATGACACCATAATACCACATACATACATACACATACATACATACATACATACATACATACATACATACATACATACATACATACATACATACATACATACAGTGAGATAATAACTATGGGATCTTGTCAATGCGCCGCAAAGTTGAAGATTTGCACTCGGATATGGTCGCTTTTTGATTATCGTGTCTAGCGGCCATTTTTTAGCTTCAAATGTAATAAGTGAAACTGCAGGCAAGGATAAATCTCAAGTTCCATGCTTTGCGACCAACGAAGGTCCTCAGAAGCGCAGCCTCGCCTCATGTCGTGTACCTATACTTCCTACACTGCTACTCTATCGATAATCATTTACACAACGATCATGTACTCCATCCTCGGCCTATGACCAACAAAGTGTGGGATTGGGCTATAGTTGATACTCTATTATTGAACTGCTCAAGCGCGAAAAATAAAAGACAACGCACACGAAAAAGACTGTGTACTGGCACAGAAAGGCGCTGCAGTCCACGTCTTTTCTGTGGGCGTTGTCTATTTTTTTTTTTTTTTGCTATGACCAGCAATCTTATTTTATACTCACGAAAACGGAAACGAGATACGCATTTTTAGAAACTTTTCACAGCACCGATTCACGAAGTGGGAAGCTGGATGAGCAGGTGGTGGTGAGGCGTTATCCCTAAGGTCACCCCACCTTGAAGACGTCTATAGGTCGAAGTGCGCTGCAACATACTCCAAGTCCACTCCAAGCCGCACAGACCTCGGGCGAAAGCGACTCGATAGAAAATTCACGCTGGCGTCTGGTGACGACAAAGGGCTTCTTGGCTCTGTATAAAACACGTGGCAACGCACTTCTTCGGGGACTCGCACGGTTCACAGACTTCGTCGACAACGTAAACTGGGTCTTCTTAGTCGCTGTGAACATGGGCCACTAATTCAAACAGTGCGAGTATCGCGTAAGACAGCGTAATATCTCATTTCGTTCTTAATTTCAATATTGTAATAAAGCTACATTGATTCAAAGCGGCTGGTTCCGTATTCGCGACTCTTGCAACTAAATGTAGCGAACCAAAACAGTCAGTTGGGGTTAGACACCTTGCGGAGGGGAGTGCGAAAGCTATATGAAGCGTCCTTCCATGTACTGTCTTTCTTTCTTGCTGTCCAAGAATGCCAACGTGGACAAAGAAGCCGTGCATTCACACCAACAGCTCCGGCTTTTTTTTCCCCGTCCACGGGGCTTGAGTCGTCGACGAGGCGCATATTTCTTCTTTACAACGACGGACAGCCACACGCGCGCGAAGCTCCCAGCGATCGAGTTTCCAAAGAGCCGGCGAAAGTGCGAGGCGTCCGGTACTTATACTTCGGACAGAGCAACAGCGAGCGGTGGCGCGTTTCCGAAAAGAGCCACCCGATATCTCTACCCGCCAAATGGAGCAACGTATTTACGCTACGCCTAGGCACGAATCGACGTAATCTCTATCGCCGACGGGCGGGCTTAGCGCGCGAGACGCGGGAATAGAATGGGCGCGGTGGCGGTCGGCTCCTGTTTTTCGACTCGGACATCGTGAGACACGGTAACAGAAACGAATAAAAAAAAAGCGATAGAAGAGGCAAACGAAACACGAAGCGCCCAGATCCTCTCCTCCACACCTCCGTTATCGTCCATCCGTCGGCGTCCTTCTCTCCACATGTAAACTAGTTTGTCAATGTACGGCCACACTCACTCAACGGGCCGAGTGGCCCTGCGCGTTTTTGGCGCGAGACAAAAAAACAAGAGCCGAGTTTTTTTTCTTGTTTGTTTTCTGGCCCCTCGTAGATAATAACGCAAGTTTCATTCCAGTACGTTTTATCTTTTAATTTCCTTTCTTTATCCCTCCTGTACTTCATCTCGTCGACGTAGCGTTTTGCGTAGATCGCCCCATTGTGACCGGATGGAGCTCGAACATTAAGTGTAGTTGTAGTGGTTCTGCATTTATCGGGCGCCTGTAGATGCCGTTGGCTTTCGGCGCCGTCGTCCGGTCCTTGACAATCTGCGCGGCCTGGGAGAGAGAAGACAGTCGCCTTGGTACAGGGCGGGGGCGAAAAACCGTAGAGCAGATTTCCGCGGACGTCTGCGCAGGAAGGACTGAACCAGTTGCGTTATCACGTTTTCTCGGCAACTAAGAGAAAGGGCCACCACCGCTGCTGTTTGCTGCTGGCTTGATTGCTGCATTTTCTCGGCAATCACTACAGCCCCCCCCCCCCCCCCCCCGTTCCACGCGCCATCCAGTCCGTGTCCATATCTGGAGGAAGAGAGAAATGAAATGAGAAACATAAAAGCGAGAGGAAGTGACAGGAATTAGAGCAGAATTCGGTCCACTCTCGGGGAGAAGTGAAAACAAAAAAAAAGGAAGGGTGGGTGTGAGTGAGTAAGAGGCGCTCGTACGAGCCTCATTATTAAGTGCAACCAACCTTCCGGTATCGCGGCGTCCGAGTGGGTATAAAAGGCGTGTCCAGAGAATGCCCAACCATCACAACTCAGCTTGACTCCTCTCGAGTAAGCCCACTCGTCTCAGCTCTAGCGTCTCAGCAGCACCCAAAGCCGACGTCATGAGGACCATGGTAAGCGAACGGCAACCGTAGGCACTTCGATGCACTCAGAGCTGCTACTCGGCAGGCCCGCTCGACAATCTGGATTCATAGACTTCTAATCTCGCTTTCAGCCTATATATCTTTTAAAACTGCATGGTATGCAATCGAACTCTTGGTGATCCCGGTTTGCTCAATCTATGGCAATAGAATTACACCAAGAGGATTCGCAAAGATCTTTCCAGTTAGACTGAGAGCTTAAGAAACTGGCAGCCTATTCTAACGCATAAGATCTTCGCCCTTCATAGATAAATATATTGTTACGTGAATGATTGCTAACGCATCTTTACGACATATGATATTTTAAATAATTGAGTAAATTCCGAAGGAGCATTCGATCATGCATTCCTCTACACTCTGAATTTCATCGTAAGAATGAGAACTCTTTCTTTTTCAATATTAAACAAATATCGGTTGATTGAGTGATTTGCTAACAATGGAAACGTTCAGAACACTCCTCATCTAACGCCTAAAATGTAGCCTAACTATTCGGCATGTATTTTCTCAAGAGAAGAATGCACTCCAAGACTTAAAAAAAAACGGTTAGTGTGCCTGAACGTGCGTCTCGCGAAACATATGAGTGACAGGTCTCAATTTCCCGCAGCTTGTTGCCGTTGCCCTTACCGCCCTCATCGGCGTCTGCTACGCTGGCGTCGTCTCCTACGGCGGCCACGGAGGTGGAGGCTACGGCGGCGGTGGCTACGGCTACGGCAAGTCCCTGCCCGGACCTTCCTTCCTCATCAAGAGCCTTCACCACGTAAGCAAGGTCAGCCACGGTGGACCCATTCTCGACAACTACGACCTGGGCGTCGCCTACGGTGGTGGATACGGTGGTGGATACGGCGGCGGTTACGGCGGTGGATACGGCGGATATGGTGGATACGGAGGCTACTTGGTCAAGGGCTAGACGAGTGAGTGGAGGAGTCAAGCTACCCAAGAGAGAGAGAGAGAGAGCGAGCATGCGCAGCCGTATGAGAGGAAATTCGAGATCAACAACAGCAACACCCCCGGTTCCCCTTTACCCATGTCTCCCTTCATGTACAGTCGCGGTAACTGAAAGTAAGAAGGGTAGCCTCGGGGATATGTAGCGTCAGTGACATTTGCTAAGATCGCGAGGACTGGTGACCAGCTCGAAGCACGGCAGGAGTAGTGATGTACCACGTCACGGCACAATGACTTCAATGGTGGTCCACAACGGCAGGGAATGTCCTCAGAGGTGCGCCTGGCAGCCGCAGTAGCCGTGGATGCGAAGGTGCGAGGGAGCTTCCGTCCTTGCGATTCAATGTCCACGCTTCATGCCTCGGTTGCGAGTCCCTTGCTGCTTTCTGCAGCGTTGTACATTTTGTACAGTTACTTCTGGTCGCGCTGCAAATAAAGCAATGAGTGAGTCTGACGTCTTTGGCTCTGTGTGGTCTTTGCAACCATTGATCTCTTTAATCACTTCTGTAAGCAACACTCTGGAACGACAAGGTTATCCTTCTTCTCATTGTCATTTTTTTTTCACCCCGTCTACACCGTAAACACCAAGTGCAACCCTATATATGAGAATCTCGAGCGATGAGTTAACTGTCGTCGCAAATGGCATATTGTGGAGTGCGCAAAAGCGTAGGAAGTGGCCGAACACGCTGCTGGCGAAACCCTTGTAGAATATATTTCCCCCTGGATCTCTAGGTATCTTCCAAAGTGCAGTGTGGGGGCTCTTCAAAAGATACATTCACGTACACCAACGCCACGAGCGTTCAAATTGCTGCCCCCAAGCTTCAGACAATCATCCGCTGTCTGCAACGCTGATTACGCCTTTGTAGGTTGTGCAAATGTAGCAGTGTAATACAATATATGTGTCATACACGCAGTCGATCAGTGCACAAGAGCCTGAGACCCTGTTTGGTATACAGCCTTCCTGCACACAAGCTGCTTGGTGATATGAATGAGGAGAAGAAAGAGAAAGACGATAGAAAAAAGTAAGGAGATAAGCAGATTAACCAGACACTGGCTTGATTGATTAGCCTACACGTGCGGCAGGGGAAAGGCAGAATTATAGAGAAATAAAAGAGCAAGAGTACAAAAAAAAAACGTGAAATGACTAGAAGAGGAATACAGGAAAGGCAGGGAGGTTAACCAGGACGGGGAAAGAGAAGAAAATGTGGAAAGGAGGAGAGAAATGTCCGTGAGAATACAAGAGACATGTAGCACATTGCAAGTAGAATCGTTAATCATTTTCACGTACAGAATATACCGCCTATTTAACAAGCACCTATATTTCTTAGTGTCTTTCTTCCATTCTATATCTCTCTTTCTTTGCCCTCATAGTCCCATTCCCCTGACACGGGATAGCAAACAATGTGGTGCATATCATTAACTTCTCGCTTCAATTCAGCGATGCGGTCTGTAGCTCTTCTTTTTATACTGCTTGTATGCATGCAAATAATACTCCTATAGGGATGAAAAAAAAAAAACTGAAAGTCATTTGCCAGAGACCGCACTTATCTCGCGTGTGCTTGCCTTGCAACGCGTCCTTGTTTCTTTTGTGAACATTGTAAGAGCTAAGTATTCTGAGAATCATGCTGAACGCAAATCCTCGGGTCTGTATGCACAACGATACGAATCTATTCACGAGTTACTCTTTGTCCTGTTCCAACCCATACGTGTTCATTTATACGCCAGCGCAGTGTTATACACCGCTGCTGACGCATGCAAATATTCTGAATCATTGTCTCAGTATTTTCTACTTGGTATTCCGCCACACTATACTTGCCTACAGAGTCGGACAAAATCGAGAGGGCAGAATCTTTGTCGTTCTTTCTGCCCCGGCTGATGCATCTTTGTCTGTGCTGTGCGGAAGTTCATACGAGTAAATATTCCTTCGCATTATCAGCCGCTGGCACAATTTAGTACAGCTTATATTTGTCGATCGACTGCACTCACATCTTCCTTAACTCTCCCGCATGCATCACTGAATATACACACTCTGCCAAATGGACAGATCGCGCAAACACCCAGTTTTCCTCCGCACACTGCTTGCTCACGTGTCACAGCCAGGCGCGGCTGAGTGCCGCAGCCTGAGCGCCTAAAAGAGCTCGAGATCGACCCCTTTTCCAAGGCTCGGTTCCCGTGCTGCTGGGAAAATCAATCTTTCCCCCACCTGCTTCCTCTTCGTCGCCACCGGCGAGACGCCGTTAGGAGCGGCCAGTATTTGTTTCTCGCGTTGTAAGTCATTCGATAACGGCTGGCGCGACAAGGGGCGTTTCGAGCGAGCGGCAGTCGGGGAAAAATTTACGGGCCCCGAATAAATACCTCACAAACGGGAATCTCCGGAGTACGTCGATGTGTATCCGTTCCTGAATAATAAGACGGGATTATATATATATATATATATATATATATATATATATATATATATATATATATATATATATATATATATATATATATATATATATATATATATATATATATATATATATATATATATATATATATATATATATATATATACGTGAGCACCCTCTTTGGGAATCGCCGTTTGAATTCCAGGCGATAAAAGACATCGCCCTTGAACGTTGCTACAGTTACACTGGGCTGTACTGCTAGAAATTTTGCTTGGCTGAAAAATAATGATCTGTTATTAAGCATGCCCCTCTTGCTATTATGTCAATGTATGGACACTATAGCTTTGCGCTCCCCTACTTCCTAGGTGATAAAGGGGGTGGGGGGCACACAGGATGTTGGCAGAGTGCCCCCCCCCCCCCCTCTCATGCGCACGCCTTCGAGGCAGTGCAAAAGAACTTTGGGGCAGAGAGCTTTTGCTGGTTGGCGGGACAGGATGAAAAAAGAAAAAAAAAAAGATGACTTTTTTGCGAGTCAACAGCGTGAAAAACAGGACTGACGCGGAGACACGCAACTCGTCAGTCCCATGTCGCGCCCTGTTCTTTCGCAGCTCCGACTGACTCTTCAGGACACCCTTCTGCAAGACGACTACCCCTTTGAATTTTTTATAAGCGAACAGGTATGCATTGGCAGTGTCTTATTCCAAGTGCCTTTGCTATCACTCAGCTCGTTCCATTTCGTCGCTGGTTATCATATCTTCCTGTGCCGATGACAAAAATGGAGAATAGGCTCTAACCTGCGTGTTTCTTGGAGGGCCAATAAAGTTAATTCAACAACATCAACAGCGTGCTGCAGTTGCGGTGCGTTGCACGAAGCAACGTTAAACGTTTCGCCGTGGTGGCGACGTGACTTGTAAATACCCGCAATGCTACACTGCTGACACGTTCGATGCTACATAACGTTTTTTATGACTTCTTAAGCACCGTGTGTTATAACTCTTTTGAATATTCGCAAGCAAAGTGTCCTTATGACGAACGCTTCTAGTGGAAGTTCATAGAGGTTGTACGGTGTGGAACGTACAAAAACGAACGCGAGAAAAAAAAATCGGTAGACCCGACGCATTTTGAGAATCGACGTTATGCGAAGCATGACGGTTGGGAAAGGAACTGTTTTATATTTTTATTAATTTAGTGACACGTAAGGTATAAATGTTGCACGCCCAGACGTGTGTCGAAATGTTGCATGTATTTATACAACCAATTCTTTAAACTTGCGAAATTATGCCAATAGAACATAATTATTAGCAACACCAGAAGCGATAAGCTGATATAAAGCGTTGATGCTTCATATCAGCAGTGTCCAGCCCTGGATACTTACTGCAGCATAAATCAACTTGAGCGTATGGCACCTAAATACAATTGGCGTTAACACGACATGACAGCTGTATTGTAGGAGTACATATGTAATGTTTTTATTCTTTAACTTGATAGCCAGCACTGCAACTGCAATGAACGTTTCGCGAACATTAGGGTCTATTTGAAAAGTATTTTATTTACAGACACTGTCGGCCATTACCAATGGGTATTACAAAAGTGGAAAACAAAAACACAGAAACATAATCATTCTAGAATCGTTACACAATTATCATGTGTAATTGGAACTTACTCAAAACGATCACTAGGAAGTAGAACTCTCAAAACGGAACCACATTTAAATAAGTGCACCACATCGTACATGGACAAAATAATGCTTAGTTAGCTATACAGATGACAATATGAGCGATGTACTTCAGGGATTAAATCTACAGAGGAGCATGAAATGGCTTCTTCGGTCAAAAAATTTTATTCGTTGATAGCTCTTGGAAAGAATCTATGCTTATAACAAACAGTTAAAAGAGCAAGAGCACGAATAAACATTGAATGATGATGTCCAAAAGTTTCGCCACAAAGAATATCAAGATAGTAAGCATACGTTATGTGGACATGGTGATTGATAATCAGGTAGAGTTCCGAGACCTGGCGTGGCTCTGGTGTTCTGCAAACAAGAAAGGGCTGAGGTCAAACAGCTCTCCAAGATAGAGTACAGTCCAGTCTAGAGTCTTGCTCGTCGTAAATGTCTTTGAGGTGAATAACCATTTCAGTGAAGTGTGTGCTTGAAGAGGTGGTGGGCTCTGCATTGCGGTCCAGCATTCGTGTATTCCACAAGCTGTAGATACCCATGAGGAAAAACATATCACGTGGCACTTTATCAAGCGTTGCTGGTAGAAAATAACGTATTGTGTAAGCGTTAATGACGAAAGTTTATTTAAGCGCCCGCTGAAGGACATTCCAAAACAGTATGGCATCTTTGCAGCTAACAAAGCAATGTTCTATCGTTTCTGGCACATCACATATACGGCAGTTAAGAGACGGAATAAAAATACCCTTTCTTTTTAACCATGCGTTTACCTCCAATCTTTCAGAGTGGAGTTTATAGAAGAATGTTTTTGAATTCGGTGGAATGTACAATTTGCACACTCGCTTCAATACACCGTAGGCTTGAAGATGGAGTACATTGAGCGGTACAACGGAGGTGGGAAGAGCACACTTAGTAAATCTTTATAGAGTGCCTTGCGCGATACTGTGTACAGGTATTCTACAGAAAAGCGAGCTTTAAGGAACTGAACTGCGAGGTAAACTTCCTACCCGAATCCTCACAAACACGGGCGTTGACAGAAGTTTGATGAAACAATTAAGTCTGGTAAGCAATCAACAAGTGTAACCTGCAAGAAAGAAAGGATTGCAGGACGAGAATGGTCTCGAAAAATGAAGAATCATCACACTATTTGCCATATATAAAGGTGTTTTATTCCTAATACGCGCTCACTAACTGGCTTGAACATATTGTCCTGACGCATGGGCTCAAAAGTCGAAGACCACATGAAAGTAGCGAACTCTTTGTGGAAAGCGTTGTACATGAAGTTTTGCGCAATGAATGAGTTTCAATAAATAGTACAGCTTTGTTGCTAAAAAAGTATTGCAAGCTTCAGCTCTCCCAAGTATTGAAAATTGATAGAGAACAAATGTCTGGGCCTGTCATTCAAGCTTAGGGACACACTCCTTCCAGTAATGCGCACTGAATCTATATGCATACAATGGTACACCGAGGTATGTCGGAAAAGCTCTTGTCCAATTAATCGCTGCGAAGAGGTTTGGCGTGCTACCCCACAAACCAAACCAGAATCCTAAACTCTTAGAGGCATTAAAACTAGTTCATGATAGTACGCCAACCTTTTCAATACAGTATAACCTCGTTACAACAGACTTTCATAGTGAAGAGGATTTGGTCTGTTGTAAAAGGAGTCTGTACAATCCATGTACTGTTACAACAGACATTTACGTAAACACGTAATGAGTCTGTTATAAAAGGAGAGAATTGAAAGTCACAAACATAGTCAAATAATGGATTTATTAAATGTTTTGAAAGAAGCTAGTCAGCTTTGCCTGTACTGTGTGGCGGACACCTTTAGACACTATACGTGTCTCCATCATGACAAGTGTGTTCATTTCATCTGAAGTCGTGGCCTGTTGTTCAAAATAGTCTTTGAGCCCTTGAATGTAGTCCAACGCCTGAGAAGTTGTGACCTCCTCTGTGACAATCCCTGAGTTGCCTTCTTCATTTTGTTCTTCTTCTTGCTCAGCATTAGGCACTTGGCGAATTCGGGCTACAATCTCTTCATCTGTCAGCTGCTCTGAGCTGACCAGGTCATCATCTGCAGTGACGTAATCCGAAAACTGCTGGCTCCCAAAGGCCTCCTCCCCAGCTGACCACACACCAGGATCTGGTTGATCTTCCTGTGGCAAGCAGTCTGTGCAGTCGCTGTCAACTCGAAAACCTGCTTTCCTAAAGCAATTCTTTACGATTCCTGGCTGAATCTGCGCCCATACAGTTGACAGCACCTGCACGGCAAATTTCAGGTCGATCACTGAGTCCCGCGTCTGCTGCATGTCAAAAAGCAAACGCTCAGCAAGGCGTGAGCGGTACCGTGACTTCACTGAGTGCACAATACCTTGGTCAATCGGCTGAGCTCTTGATGTTGTGTTCGGCGGAAAGTACGCCACCTTCGTTGCATGAAGCCCGGGAAGCTGCATATGGCTTGAGCAATTGTCCAGGAATAGTATCACATTCCTTTTCTGCTTCACCATCTTGCTGTCAAAATTGAGTAGCCATTTGTTAAAAATATCTTTTGTCATCCAAGCACTTTTGTTGGAGTGCCAGTCCACGGGAACGTGCATATTGCGCATGCACCGTGGTCTTCTCGACTTCCCTATCACCAGGAGTTTTTCTTTCTCGCTCCCGTCCATATTGCAGCAGAAGAGAACGCTAATGCGATCCTTAGATTTCTTGCCACCGTGGCATAAGTCATCGCCAAAACAAAAAGTCTTGCCTGGTTTTAACTTATAAAAAATGCCGCTTTCATCGGCATTGAATACATCCCGCGGTGCGTAGCCTTCAATGTGTGCAGGTAGAACATCTGCTATCCAGTCGGCTACAACAGTGTCGTCGACGCTGGCAGACTCTCCAGAAAGGCACTTAAATGCGATGGCATGCCTAGATTTAAATCTGCTCAGCCAGCCTTCGCTGCACTGGAACTGTTCTTGGTTAAGAACAACGGCAAGTTGCTCCGCGCGTTTTCGTAGCAGCAGTCCGTTAACGGGTATATTTCGCGAACGGGCGTCACGAAGCCACATCAGCAGGGCCTCTTCAACGTCAGGATATGAAGCTTCGCGGAGCCGGAACCTCTTGGGTTGCAAGTCACCTGAGACTTTCTTCGCCAAGACTGCCTCTTTGGCGTTGATGATAGTGCTAACCGTCTGCTTCGACAAGCCGTAGGCCACGGCGACGTCCACCTGCTTTTTTCCCTTCTCAACTTGCTCGATGATATCAAGCTTGTCTTTAAGGGAAATCTGCTTGCGCTTCGTCGTTTTGTGACGCACGGCGTTGGCTGATGCGTTCGGCTCCATCGGTTCCATCACACCACGATCACGTCCGCAATGCACAGAGGCCAACAGGATACACAATGACAAACCATGAGGCCAAACAGCCCCAACTGCCCCAATTGAACAAAGCGAAGTACACAGCGCCAGGGCGCCAGCAGCGCCTTCGCCGGGCCGAGCATAAGCGCCACTAGACCTTTTATTCCGAGAGGGGCCGCTGCCAAGCGCATGCTTTCTATTTATTTTTCACTTTGACCACAGATTTATGCAAGTGGTCACTATTGTCTGTTACGAGTCTAACTAAGATTTTTTCATCTTTTATCTTTATGTTATTTCGACAACATTGCAATCATTGCAAATTATGGCTCGCTAAATGTAACAGAAGTCGAAGTCAGCCCCGGCAGCCAGATCAATCCAAGCCAAGCGCGGCCTCCCTGAAGTGGCCGCCGCTTGTGTTGACACCGCCGGCGTGCTTTTCCCGTGCCGCAACTATGCCTAGCGATGCCTGAAATCGGAAACAATTGAATCTCGGATGTCCGTGATAGAAAAGTCCGCTGTAAAGGAGGCCTGACCACCTTGCTGGCGTCACAATTTAGTCAATTATATCCGAATGTCCGTTGTACCCGAGTCCGTTGTAAACGAAGCTCAATCAATGGAAAAGATAGGGAGATCAGCATAACGCCGCGAATTGGTACGTAGTATCCAAATGTCCGTTGTACCCGAGTCCATTTTAACGAGGTTATACTGTAGTATATGCCACATTTTCGACACTTGGCTTATCTGTGCAAAATAATGTGACATCGTCTGCATAAGCTGTAGTACTCTAACTTCACTGCGTAATATACGAAAGCCACGAATGCAACTCGACTATATTATGCTTAAGCACAGTGGTTCTAGATAAAGTGCAAACAGAAGAGGTGACATTGGGCATCCCTGTTTTACACAAGAACGAATAGAAAAAGGCTCGGAGAGTTCACCATAAACAATCAGACGAGTTGAGCATTCATTATACATAGTTTAATGCCCACAAGAACAACTTCGTCAACATTGGCATGTTCGAGAAGAGAAAAAAGGAAGGAATGATAAACATGCTCAAAGTACGCGACAGGCTTGTGCCATTATTCATGTTCATCATATTTGTCATATTCGTCAAACCAGCTTACCCTCTCATACTAATTTCTGCTCACGCCAAGTTAACTTGGTTATCACGAGAGCACCCAGACGTATATATCCGGATAGATAGATAGATAGATAGATAGATAGATAGATAGATAGATAGATAGATAGATAGATAGATAGATAGATAGATAGATAGATAGATAGATAGATAGATAGATAGATAGATAGATACAGAAAGGGCTTGCCGTTCGGAAGGAAATGCTTCGCATCGATAATAAACAACCGCGCAGAAACGCCCGTAAAAGGCATGGGGGGGAGGGGGAGTATCGATATATCTGCACAGTGATGCAGTCGGGGGTCTGCCCATAGGACCGGAGCCAGCCAAAGTCTCGGGAAGATGTCGAGGAGAGCATCCGGGCTGGTTGCAACAACATTTATTTACACTATTTACATAGTCACGGTAGTGTCGCTGCGTGACAGCGGGAACATCACGGAAGCTCTTGATAGAAGCTTGGTAGGAGCTTCTGGGAGCTTTTCTTGAGCTCGTTTTCTGCCCTGCAGGGAAGAAGAAGGGAGGCCAGGACAGTCCAACGAAAATGTTGTCTTCACCTCCGCCGACAAAAGGGGGAAGGCGAAACACGGCCTCCTTTCCAACCCTGCATAAAAGAGGGAAGAGGCACATTCATTTCGTCCCGTGGTAAAGGAGAAAACACTGCCGAATACTCAATGCACACGACACAGCACAACGCGAAGACGTTGGGTCCTCTACGTGCAGATCAACTCTGTAGTCCGTTGCAGTGATGAGTGCGCGGCGCCGGGCAGGCCATGGTTCGTCGGAAACGGCGGCATGAAGGCACCACGGAGAACGTGGGAAACGCACCCGAACACGGACTTCAGACGCTTGAGTTATTGTCCGGCGCACTTCGACGAACAAAGCCGCGCAGAGATGACTACCTTTTTTAAGCCGCTTTGACTGCAGACAGCCCTTCTTACACCGTCAGTCGGTCGGGCATGTCCAAAGGGTTTCACGAGGGCAGACGACTGCGCTGTGAAATTCGAACTTTTGTGTCGCGTGCTCGCCGCTTTTGGCCCATCTCGGGATCGCTGACCCGGAACAAATCGGGCTAGACTCAGCCGCAATGTCAAACGCGTCCAAGCGGCGCCATACCAGGAAGGCCGATCATAACAAGAGTGAATGTTGCCGTTATTCACCGAATAACACGGAAAAATTGAGCAATTGGGAGCATAAGTCTACACTGGGGATAAATTATGAATGGTTTGCTACAGCAAACGATGTATATTAGAACAGACTTTCAAAACTATATTGCGTCATTCGTTCTTTTCGTATGTGATATAGAAAAGCCGGCACCACTAAAGATGCCAATATCCTACAAAAGCTTTCTAAAAAAAATGATAGCACAAAGTTGAGTTGTGGAGCAAAAGCAGAAGAGAGAAGACGTACGTAGAGTAACAAAGTAATAAAATAAAAGAAGTTGTTTAATCAATCCTGCATATTTCAGGTACAGTGAAAAGCGAAATATATGCTCAACTTCAGCCGCCACTATGCATACAACTTCGCGAACACCCGTTTTCAATACAGGTGGTGGAAGCGAAAGTAAACAATCGCAAAAAAAAAAAAAAAGCAGGGCTGACCTCTCTTTCCGTGTCCCCGGCCGTATAATCACTCCTAACGCAGTGCTCTCCGCGACGGCCAGCGGTTTTTCATCGTGCGTGACACCGGCAGAACATTACCATTTTGATTTCTCTCCACCTTCTTGTTTGCCGCCAGAAACGTTTATATTACTTCTTTCTTTGTCTCTTCTTTCCTGGTGCGCAGCAGGGCTGCGAGGTTCCATAGAGTGTGGGGGACCGCTCGTTTTCGACCTCGGAACACCTGCAGCCGCCAAAGCACATTGCAGCGTCCCCACCAAAGCCCTCCGACAGCCCTCCCTCTACTACCTCTACGAAGCCAGCAGCACCGCGGTTGGACTTTTTTTTCCCCCTCCCAGTGCCTTCGTTGTTCATCTCTTTACCGGCCACTCTGTTTGAGCGGCGTGCATGCGACGAGGGCAGCGTGCTTTTGGACAGGCCGGCCGGCTCAGTGCAGATAACGCGGGCAGATGCGGACGGCTCATCGCGGGTGCTCATTACAAATGCCTCTTGTGCTGCGCGGCAGTGGGTTTTATGCATGCGTGCGTGCGTTTGTGTGTGTATGTGCAAAAGGCTTCTCTCTTCTCACTGCGTGAACGATAATGTAGGCTGGATCTAACGCGATCCGCGAAGCTTAAATTTCCTTTCAGTCTTCATTCGCACGTCGCGTTGGGTGCATGGCGTAGCCGGTGGAGCCTTGATTGTTTCACTATTGTTTTACATACATACATACATACATACATACATACATACATACATACATACATACATACATACACAGATACATACACACATACGTACATACATACATACATACACACATACATACACACACACATACATACACACATACATACATACATACATACATACATACATACATACATACATACATACATACATACATACATACATACATACATACATACATACATACATACATACATACATGGCGAACATTTTCATCCGATGGGAGATGACAGCAATGACATGCGGTGTTTGTTTAATGGCGAAAGGAGTCGCTGTGAGAATGCTTTTTCCTTCCGTGGTACAGGTGCAAATTGCAGCACGCTCACGAAGCTTCGGTTTCCGCACGCAGCATTCCCCTTCCAAGCCCTCTGACAATAGCGTCACATGGGATGTTTCCGGTCAGTTCACATGACTCCGGACTGTACAGGTACCGTTACACTCTTCCTCAGCCAACCCTTCAGTGTATGGCATGTGTGGTTGTTTGTTGCGGCAACACAATAGTGGCCTGCATTATTTCAGCGCCGTGTGTGTGACATGCATGCTTGCTGGTGTCACTGCCCTGTTCTGCTTAATAGATAAGACATGCAAGGAGATCCTCTGCGTTCCTATCAAGAATATGCTACCTAACAAACGCGCGGTTTTCTGGGATAAGTAACCCTTGAATGATTCCACATAAAAATAAATAAATAAACAAATAAATAAATAAATAAATAAATAAATAAATGCCGCAAGTGGGAAACGAGATCAGAATGGTGGAACTTGAAATTACAGGCACGTATCAGTGTACAGGGCAAAGCCATCCATGTCCTCATGCAACGACATTCAGCGACTTCTAAAGGCATTCAGACGATAGACAATGAATGGACGAGCGAGCGTTCAAACGTAGCGCATCAGTAATTTCCGCACGACCTTTCTCTCCTTCGGACTGGTCGCTTAGCTCCCGCTGAGAGGCATCGCTACATGAATGAGCAATCACTGTCTCCCGTTACAATCCTGCTATATATCTCATTGCCCAACAGCTTAATAATCAGAGCACGCGTTCCCTTCAGAGGCAACACTGCTCGCGAAAGGAGCAGTCGCGAGCGATAACGCAGAGGACGCCTCTCGCGATGCACACCGCCAATTTGGCACTTAGCCCGCTAATGCATTGCAACATTATCGCCGCTGGTGTGATGCAGACGCAGCCGTGATATCTTTTTTGCTCCCTCTTCCATCATGCTCACCTCTCTTTCTCTCTCTCTCAGAACGTCTTGCCGAAGAACGACTCCCGGAGCCGTCACGCGAGCTTGTTAACCATATTTGTGCGCGTATTATACCGCACACCACTTAACGACGCTTGCGACAGTGTGATACTTAGCCATGTTAACCTTTACTGAGCTAACGTAAGGAAAACGAGTACACCCTGTCAAGCGGCTCCCTTTAATCGCAAGCCTCGCAATCAAAGGAGGACTGCCACATTTTTTTTTCATTTTTTTAGAAATACGACAAGGGCCACTCAAAGCGAGCCT